GGAGACCATATGGGGTGCCAGGGACCAAATCGAGGCAGCTGCATGGAAGGCAAATGCCCTATCTATAGTACTATTACTCCGCCCCCTAGCCTATATCTTTAATCACGATCATCCTATTGTTGTCCATTGCCTCAAGCAGGCACCAGTAACGTCTCCTTCGTCCTAGCCCTGAGATTTTAAAAAGTGCCATATTCAAGGCTCTTTCAGGGTTAGGAGAATAAGCTCCATCATTGTTACTGGTATTTGGCATTTTTAGTATGCCATGGGGAGTTTGCCAGACTCTGCCGTGTGGGCAGGTTACATTCCGTAGCCTGCAAGGTTGTCAAAGCAAGAATGAGATAAGATGTCACACGGCCTAGAATGAGGCAGTGTGCTTCCAGGAGCTGGGTTTTATAGTCTCTGGGTCTTGGCCGTTGATCGGATTACACGGCACCAGGGGGCAGTTGGTGGGTGTGATCCCTGCCTACTGGAAGATGGAGGATCTGGGTGGAGGATGCTCAGCCCCGATCCAAGCAGGCTTGGGGATCTCAGCCCCGGGACCCACATGTCTTTGTTCCTCTACCGGTACCTTCATGCGCATGGAGAGTGGTCTCAGCATGGTTGTGGCTGGTTCTAGAGGTCTTCAGCTGCCGGGACTCTGCTCGGGGTGGGGAGGGAAACTCCACCCACCCCCCTCCAAGTGGCCCCGGCAAGGACAGTTAGGCGCAGGGGAAGGAGACTCTTTATCTTTAATTAAAAAAAAAGTATTTGTATACTTCACAGGCCTAAATTTTAAATAATAGAAACAGGTGCCCGGAGCTCTGGTGATAGTTCACTGCAGGCATGAGTTCAATCCCCAGCAATGCCTCCTAGGTAGGGCTGAAGCCTATATCACTGCCACTGAGGATCCCTAGTTTCAACAAGCAACAAGCACTCACTGGCATAAAAGTTTGTGGCATGATGGCCACTCAATACCTATATTGCAAACCACAACACCCAAAAGGAGAGAACAAAAGGAAATGCTGTGCCACAGAGGTGGGATGGGGTTGGGGGAATGGGGTGGGGGTGGTGGGAAGGATACTGGGACCATTGGTAGTGGAGAATAGGCACTGGTGGAGGGATAGGTACTAGATCATTGTATGGCTGAAAGGTAAGCACTTAAATTTGCAAGTCTGTAATTGTACCTCACAGTGATTCATTTAAAATTTTAAAAAATTTTAAAAAAAAGTTTGTGATAGCTGCTAAGCATTGCAAGCAAGGGACGCTTGAATACCATAAGCAACGTGGCAATTCCAGTGAGCAGTAAGTATGTGATCATGAGCCACTACAAAGAAAGAGGGAGTGGGGAATCAAAAAAAAAGGTAATCAAACTGAGAAACTTTGGAGCAACTATGGACAACACAACACAACAAAACAAATTAAAGAGTTTCAAAGCCCCAAGAAAAATCTCTAAAGTTCTAGCCATTCTATATAAAAACACTTTTTGAAAATTCTCTTAAATTTTTGGTTACACTCTTGCAGTTTAATCTTATACAACAAAAAGCACCAAGGGGCCTGAGAAACAGTATAACAGGAAAGGTGCTTTCCTTGCATGCAGTTGGCCTAGGTTCAATCTCAATAATGCATAGTCCCCAAAATCTCACCAGAGCGATCCCTGGACACTGAGCCAGGAGGAAGCCCTGAGCATAGCTGGCTATACTCCCCTTCATCCCCCCCCAAAATTGTTAAAATAAAAAGCACCTTATTCACACAATAAAAAGTAACTCACTTTGTTCATTAAATCAGTTACACTTGGGACTGGAGCAACAGCACAGTGAGTAGGGCATTTGCCTTGCATATGTCCGACCTAGGTTCGATTTCCCAGCATCCCATATGGTCCCCTGAGCACCGCCAGGATAATTCCTGAGTGCAGAGCCAGGAGTAATCCGTGTGTATTGCTGGGTGTAGCCCAAAAAGAAAAAAAAAAAAGTGTGCTTAAAAAAAATTTGTTATTTAAATGAATCCAACTTGTCTTTGAGATTATATAAATCAAATGTGCCTTAAATATAACTGTTTTAAATAAATAGACTAAAGTAACACCTAAAATCAATTGTTTTATTAAGAAAATGATGCTGAAACAAGTGCTTGTTCAGATAGGGAAAGGATAATGCTTTAAGTTATATCATGTACATAAATCTTAGAAAAATGGAAGCAATTTGTTTTAGAAATCTGGAAGTTGGAGAAGGTAAAAGGAGCTATGAAATTAACTAAATAAGATCTTACAACTTAAACAAACATGGAAGACATCATTGCTAAAGTTAATAGACAAAAGAGATACACAATATGTAGAAGAGACAAAGCAGGGGTGTGCACATAAAGTCATGATAATGCAAAATGGGCACAAGCATTTCCTTTCTCTCTCACCCTTGCCAAGTGTCTCAACAACAACAACAAAAAAGTCAAAAGGTATTAGGCATTTGAGAAGATGCTCAATTTACAAATCAAATAGAAGTCAAACTAAATTCTGAGCAAGCAAATTTTATAACCTACTGTAACTGAAAAATTAACAATGCTAGTTATAATCACATGCAGACTCAAATATTCCTTTGAAAGGACACTTTATTTTTTGCTGTTGAGTTTAAGATCATACCCCACAGCACTCAGGGGCTACCCAGAGGCTAGTCCCAACATGTGTTTCTCAGCAGTCACTCTTGGCAAGTGCTTCGGGGACCATGCAACGCTAGGGACAAACCTGCAAGTCCTGTATGCAAATTCTTTGAACTTTCTCTCCGGTCCCTAAGAGATTTTACAAAAACGTTCACATAAGCTTTGTTTAACAGATATATACTATAGAGATAAATACTATATAAAAATACCAAATAAGAATTATAGCACTGTACACTGTCCTCCCGTTGTTCATCGATTTGCTCGCGCGGGCACCAGTAACATCTCCATTGTGAGACTTGTTACTGTTTTTGGCATATCGAATATGCCACGGGGAGCTTACCAGGCTCTGCCATGTGGACGGGATACTCTCGGTAGCTTGCTGGGCTCTCCGAGAGGGACCAAGGAATCGAACCCGAGTTGGTTGTGTGCAAGGGAAACACCCTAACCGCTGTGCTATCACTCTGCCCTCATTACCTCCCACAAAAGGTTTGTCAGATACTTTATGAATGCTTGGTTTTTGCAACAGCAAAAAAAAAAAAAAAAAAATAAGAACAGAACAGGGATTATTCAAAGTATTTTAAAGTTGCATGGAAGCAAAATTCCATTTTTAAGAAGAAAATAACCCTATGTTCTTATGTGTGTAAAATCAAGTTGAGAGAAATGTACAAACTGTTATTTTACAATATGAAAATTACAGAGAATGTTCATTTTCTCCCATCCAAATACTAACCAGGCCTGACCCTGCTTAGCTTCCGAGATCAGACGAGATTGGGCAAGTTCAGGGTGATATTTCTGGGGCTGGAGCAATAGCACAGCGGGTAGGGCGTTTACCTGGCATGCGGCCAACCTGGCTGACCCGAGTACGAGTCCTCTGCCCCTCTTGGAGGGCCCAGCAAGCTACCGTGAGTATCTCGGCCACACAGCAAAGCCTGGCAAGCTACCCGTGATGTATTCAATACGCCAAACACAGTAACAACAAGTCTCGCAATGGAGACATTACTGGGGCCACTGGAGCAAATCGATGAACAATGGGAGGATAGTGCTACAGTTCATTTTCTACATAATATATTTGTTCGTATTTAAGTTATTTAATGTTAATTGCTTTTGGGATTATAGAAAAGACAGTGTGTATAGATTTTTCAGACAGTTTCTACCTCATTTTCACTAAAATGAAAGCACAGAATTTCAGAAGCAGGAAGTGTCCCTAAAGTACAAAGTGTTTGAAAAAAAAATGCTATTTTTTAAAGCAGTGGTTTTCAATACTTTACACCTGCGGGTGGGCACCAATCAACTGACATCAGGTTGAAAACTACTGTTGTAGAGAGACGTCTAAAATAATTAAATGACAGTTTGTTTCAAATTATGGATTGGGTACAGACATCATGTGACTCACTATGAGTAACAATATGGTAAGTTCTATTATTAATACACAGGGCTCATTATGTACCACTTTCTCCAGACTGACATTTAAAAGATCCCACTAAAAACAAGGTGTCATCACAACTCTATACAGAATTATACTTATTCTCAATCAAACTAGCAGTTAAATATTGTCAAATGTTGCTCAGTTGCCTCACTGGTCTTTTAAGAAACATTTTTCCTCTTAAATTTTATAGGATAATTTCTTCATCATGACACATTTAACATTTTCTATGTTTCGTATGTGTGCCAAAGCCTCACACATGTCAGGCTGTCCTCTTTCTAACAATGACAGAGGCCCCATCATAATCCCTTTTGGTAAAAGAAAATTTTTGTCTTAAAATATATGTCCTATATGAGAATGTCAAATTTGGTAAATGTTACTGGTAAAGTTATTCTTACTAAGTATCAAAGGAATAAGGTAATTTTTGTCACCACCAATTAAAAACTTTTACGAAATAGGACTGTTATAAAACAATTAAACCTTGCAAATGCACTAGTCTCCAGGAACAAAGTCCTAGAGGAAATTCTGCTTATTAAAATTGCAATTTTAGTTTCCATTAAAAGGAGAATAAGACAACAGAAGATGGGTTGGCAAGACAAATTATTTCTTAATGTCAGTTGAGCTTATTTCAAATGAGATAACATATCTAAACCAGGTTGGGTTCAGTACAATTTTGTCTCCTCAACTCATTTATCTAATTCAGTCATCTTGATTATAGCCTCATGGACTTCATTTTCAGAAAAGAATTCTGTAACAAACAGCCCACACAACATGCTGATTACTGAACAGTTAATTCTAATTAACTTGGGCATGGCAAGAGAATTTTGATAAAGTCCTAGAATACAAAAATAGTCTGTTATACTGGACTAACTTATATAAAAAACCCACAGCATAGTCTCCAGACAAAACAACAGAGTCAAAGAGATCTAATTTAAAGAAACAAATGAGAAAATTAAAATCACAAATAATTTATTCTTCAGTTAGAGTTGATACCGTTTTAAATAGGAACAAAGTACACAGTGGTGGAAAATTGGCACAGAATCTGTAAGCATTTCAATCACAATAAGGCTGTCCATGTTTTATCTGTTCAAACCTGATACCCATTTTCAACTGACCAAGTTGAAAAAACTGATTCTGACCTTAAAACACACACTCTCTCATACACACACAGAAACACAATGAAATTCCTCCTTTTGATTACAATATGTTGAGAACAATGTATTTTGCTTATTCAAATTTATGGCATCTCTTCTGTTTATTTCCAGTTAGAGGTGGGAAAAAAATTGATTCAATTATAAAGAAAACATCTTATTCCCTGGGAATAGGCAACTGTGATGAAAATAGCAACTTACCTTTGGGCTAGTTGTTTTCAGTTTATGTTTAAATAGTTGTGGTTATAAACTTCTCAATATATGATTTCCTGCCAAATGCAACATCCCTGAATTTGGCTAGAATAATCAGGCACAGGGCAGTCTCAAATAATGATTAAATATGACATGCTAATAAATAAAGTGATCAAGAATGCAATCTCTATTTTTAATACAGATTAGAATAAACCTCAATAAGCATTTTCCTAAACATCTTTGTGTTATATTAATGAACATAAAAAAGATAAACTTATAAGTGCCCCATTATAAATGGTATTCTTCCACTTATAAAAGTTGAAATGATATATAAACTCTCCTGAACTATTTTCTAACACCGACCAATTATCCTCCAAATTTAAAAAATTACTGAATCAATGTTGATTCCTCTTTGATATCAATTATAAAATGCTTTAGTATTATTTACTAAGTTCACTGATTAATCAAACAAGGTGAATTAACGCTTCCCGTTTCAATTATTGCTATCTTGGGAGAGGATTACCACTTCATTTACATGAAAGTGTTACCATATTTTCAAATTCAACATGAAGTAATTCTTATTGCCTCACATTTTAAAACTATTATAAGTGACTTTATAAAAAAGGTTTATAATCCACAAAATTGGAAGGCTTTTTAAAAAATGTCTTTTTACTCAAAATTGTATCACAGTGCCCTTGATCATCTAACAGATAAAGGGATCTAAATTTCCTCTAAAGAGCCTACCAGTGGACATATGGTGTGCTTTGTCTTTCCCCTCACCTCTGTCTTTATAATACACCATTTTGAGACCAACACAAGCATCCACCATGCTCCAATCTACGTTAACAGATGATTCTGTCCAGTGCGTAGTAGTGTACCGCCTTGCATATTCACCACAAGAAATAAACATAATATACAAAATATTGCTGTTGTAAAAAGTGTACATTTCCCTCTTCCCCTTACAAAAGAATCTGTGGAAAAGTATTAAATTCTCTTAACCTTCATAAACATACAAAGCTGAACACCTTTCAGTCTGTAACAGTCCATTTGAAACAGTTTCGAAATCACTGCAAATTGGTTATGTCACTGTATTTTCTGTCCAATGTTGCCATCTAGAGTAGAAATGTGAAATCAAGAGTATTTTTTGAGCTACTAAAACCTTTAGGTCTAAGCCACAAAGGCTGCTTCCTGCTGAAACAGCCTCTTATCCACAAGGTTTCTTCAAAAATTAGATGGAATGGAAGGATCTCTTCACAAGGAGGTGTCCACAGTGCTGAGGTGACAATATGGCTGCTAACAGATACTGGCTACTGGAATGTAAGTACTTTCTCACTGCTGGTAATTTCCATATTGTCCCTAAAAGATAAATATAACAACTAATTAGGTAACCATCTAACCACAGCTTGACCACAAAAATTCAGCATAAAAAAAAGTATAAATAAATCTTATTCTCATACTACAAAGGAAACCTATTCTACCAAGAACAAGTTTTTATATAGTATAGTACAGTATCTCTGGTACATTCCACTGCACATGGAGTTCAGAGTGTAAAACATATAATTTTTGTTTTTGTAATTTTGTATATTTTGAGCACAATCTGTCACTACAGTGTGACTCCAGTGTTTGGTGGATTTTTGTTGGACAAAACTGATCAAGAATGAGTGAGAAGTTCTAATTTCAAATTCTGGTATTGTACATACTGTTGTGTAAATCATGTTAGTGTAACAAATTTGAAATTATTTAACTTATTGTAATTATTATTATTAATCAATACCAAGGTTATTTAGGTGGGAAGTGGTGATGACTAAAAAGAACTACTAGGAGATGAAGGGGAGTCTTCTATCCAATTTAAAGATTTTGAGCCTTTCCCTATGTAAACGAAGTATCAGCAAAAGTATTCAGACAGGTAGCTGTTACATACAAATCAAGAAAAGTGTGCTTTCTTTTCCTTCTTTTTAATAAGGCAGACTAAAAGGCTGACAGGAGACGAGAGAAGAAGTATTTCATGCTTTTTATACCTTCTATAAAAATAGCTTGCCGGGCTCTCCAAGAGGAGCGAAGGAATTCAACCTGGCTCGGCCAGGCTGGCTGCGCGCAAGGCAAACCCCTACCGCTGTGCTATCGCTCCAGGGATGACTCCAAGGCTGGAGTGATAGCACAGTGGTAGGGCACTTACCTTGCACGCAGCCAGTCCGCCCGGCGAGCCGGGTTTGATTCCTTCGCCCCTCTCAGAGAGCCTGGCAAGCTACCGAGAGTATTCAATATGCCAAACACAGTAACAAAAAGTCTCACAATGGAGACGTTTCTGGGCCCGCTCGAGCAAATCGATGAACAACAGGAGGACAGTGTTATAAAAATAAAAAAATAGGTGGGGCTGGAGAGATAGAACAGAGAGGAGGGCGTTTGCCTTGCACGTGGCCGACCCAGGTTCGATTTCCTGAATCCTATATGGTCCCCTGAGCAGCGCCAGGAGTAACTCCTGAGTGAAGAGCCAGGAGTAACCCCTGTGCATCCCCGGGTGTGACACAAAAAGCAAAAAATAAATAAATAATAAAATTTAAAAAAAGGTAATGAGTGATGTATAGCAAAATTCAACAAGTTAAGTAATGTCTAATATACAACTGCTAACACCAGCAGTTAGAGAAGGACTTCTCAAAAACAGAAGACAGGAGAAAAAATAGGTTTATTGAAATACATATGTGTTTTTTAATTTAAAACTTGTTAAATATGTATATATTTGTTGATGATGTTGTTTTGCGGCCATACCCAGCGCTGTTCAAGGCTTCTCCTGGATCTCTGCTTGGGGGATGCCTCTGGCAGTGCTGGGGGCCATATGCTACAAGGGATCCAACCTGGGAATTTTGTGTGCAAACATGCTTCACATGCTCTCAGCCTATTGAGCTAGCTCACTGTCCCAAACTCTTTTAAATATTTAAAGATACTCATAAAAGCATGTACCTTCCAAATACAGTATTCACTGGAAGCACATAAGCAACTATTTTGTCTAAATTTCCCCCTCCAAATCACAATAATTATATTGCATCAGAAAGCATTTGAAAACAAAAGTATTTCTGTATCATAAGAAACTCTACCTGGGGCTGGAGTGATAGCACAGTGGGTAGGGCGTTTGTCTTGAGCGCGGCCCAACCCAGGTTCGATTCCCAGCATCCCATATGGTCCCCCAAGCACGGCCAGGAGTAATTCCTGAGTGCATGAACCAGGAGTAACCCCTAAGCAGCACCGGGTGTGACCCCCCCCCAAAAAAGAAACTAAACCCTAAAGTTTACATTTTCACAAAAATAGTAGTCAAAAATGTGCTGAATTAGCAAAACAGAAATATAAAGGTATGTAAAACATACTTTACATAGTTATATTCAGCAAAATTCAAAGTCAATGCTCATCTTAAAATATTCATAAGGGAACGAGGAGATGGCTCACAGTACTTGAGCATCTGTCTCTTGGGAGCTCTATTTTGATTTCTGGTACCACATGGTGGCGTTAAGCACCTCTGGGAGTGACCCCAAAGCATCAATTTAGAAGCAGCCCCCATACCACCAAGTGACAAAAATAAGTAAATAATATGTATGGGTAAAATATCAAATCTAGGATTTGTTTTAAAATAATTTAAAAAAAAAACTGCATTGGTGGGGGGCAATGTAAAAAAAGAGCAAAATGTTGGTAATTACTGAATTAGGTCGCAGGGTACACAGAAAGTTATTATAAAGATTCCTAAATACAAAGTTAAGAGCAATGGAGTGATGGCTTAGTATTAGAAACTTACTGCTACATTACCTAAATAATAAAACTGAGTTTAACTCCCAACTTTTTGTTTGTCTTTTTGGATCACATCTGGTGATGCTTAAGGATTACTCCTGGCTCTGCCCCTGAGGAATTACCCCTGATGGCACTCAGGGCACATATGAGATGCCGGGGATTGAACCGAGTCAGCCTCATGCAAGGCAAATACCCTGTCCGCTGTACTATCACTCCAGCGCCTCCAACTTTTTTTTAGCAAGGGCGGGGGGGAGGGCATACCTAATGATACTCAGGGATTATTCCTAACTGTGCTCAGGAAATACTTCTGGTGGTACTTGGGGAACCAAATGGATCAAACTCAGTCAGTAGTGTACAAGGCAAGTGCTACATGTCTGGCCCCCAGTTATATTAACTTTATACTTTAGTCCAAAAATGTTGCTCAAGACTATTATTTTTACCTATAATATAAAATAATCTAGATTTGGATATCAACTTTCCTTCTGCACAATTCTTACCTCATTTGCTTGTTAGAACATTTAACAACAGACATGAGAAAGGGCTTCTTAAGCTATAAAGAATTACAAAGCAAGTCTAATGTTAAAGGGAAATACCCCACTTCCAGCAATTTTAAAGTATTAATGATGAATTGCACATATTATGAATGATATGAAAGCAAAACAGTTAAGAGTTGCTTATAATTAATACGACAGTAACTACATCTTTCCCATGTGCCAAATACTGAAAAGTACCTGGCACATAAGATTCTTCAATAATATATGCCAAATTTAGGGTCAGAGAAATAATAGTACAGTGGGTAAGGTGTTTGCCCTGTGTGTTAACTGACCTGGGTTCAATTCCCAGCATTCCATATGGCCCCTGAAACACCACCAGGAGTGATTCCTGAGTGCAGAGACAGAAGTAACCCTGAGCACTGCCAGGAATGAGCCCAAAAATCAACGAACATTTATATATGTATTTAGTTCTTTAACTGTAACATTTGGCATATATATGGACAAACAGCATATACTCATATACTCACCACAAAAAATATTTGAAAAATGTACTTTATTTGTGACTCTTATCAAAGACTCATGAATAAAGTACAATTACAGAAGTTCTGTAAAAATACAAAAATGAAAAGCCTAACACAATTTACATAATAAATAAGAGATGTGGGATCTTAATTAAAGCAGCAAAATAGCAAAATTTAAATAGTAGAGAAAAAAAGAAAAGAAGGCAATTCAAATAGAAAAATTAGTTATATCAACGGAATAAAGGAAAAACAGTTATAGAATGTGTATAGAAGTAAAAATGAATATATAATAATAAAAGTAAAACTATTTGATAGAGTCTGAAATAATAGAAATAAGACCTGGTTGGAAGTTTGCCACAAAGGAGGGCGGGAGATTGTGGGTTGTGAGGGTGGGGAGTGCATTTAAGACAGAGAAGGAACAACCATGACAAAGACAGTTGAAAATGATCACTCTGAACAGGAACTGAGTGCTGATAGGAGGTAAACATGATAACCCCTCAATAATAGGATTGAAAATGATAGTCCCTAAAAGGAAAGGGGGGGGGGGGCGGAGAGCACGAGAGAGCAAGAGAGAGAGAGTGAGAACGAGCAGCTGCAGAGGGAGGTTGTGGTGTGGTGTGGGGGGAACAGGAGGAGACTGCAAACACTGGTGCGAGTGGTGAGAAATGCACACTGGTGAAGGGACAGGTAAGAACTGCTTTAATGGCTATGGTGTGTGTGGGTGCGGGTGTGGGTGTGGAGGAGGGTCAGGAAGGAAACTGGAGACACTGGTGCCAGTGGTAGGAAATGCACAATGGTGAAGGGACTGGTGAGAAATGCTTTAATATGCTGCTATGTGAATGGATCTAGAGAGATCATGCTGAATAAAATAAGAGGGAGACAGACTGCAAGATATAAAACAACATAGTCGGGGAAGAACACATGCCCAAAGGCAACAGAAATGAGGCACATGAGAACTGGACTTGGGTAGGAAGCTTGTTGATTTAGGGAAGGGTAGGAAAGGACAGGGAAGACAATACTCCAACAATGAGAATCTGCCCCGTGCGAGGCGTTCATCCGTATCCCAAGCGTTGTGGCCCTGCGTTTCCAGTTGCTTGGCCACCCACATTCCCTGCCATCAGAGCCAAGCCAGTTGTAGCAGGAAGCTGCTTCCTGCCCCTTGAATACCAGGCAATTCCCTGGTGCAATCCCCAATGTCGCAGGCAAATCATTGCAATTAGTGTTCAGTTCTATTTGAAAGTAAACTCTGAGAACAGGAAGGAAGGGAGGGAGGGAGGGAGGGAGGGAGGGAGGGAGGGAGGGAGGGAAGGAGGGAAGGGAGGGAGGGAGGGAAGGACAGACGGAGGGAGAGAGGGAAGGAGGGAGGGAGGGAGTCTGTGGAGGAGAAAGGGATGTTGAAAGGTGGTAAAGGAGTTAAGCATGAAACCCTATCAATAATAGTACATAAAGCACTGTCTAGAATTTATACCAAAGTGCCTGTCATAGAGGCAGGCTGGGGGATGATGGGGGGCAGCATGGGGCAGTGGGAGAGACAGGAAAAAAGAATTGAGGGCTATAGACAGTGGTGAAGGGATTGGTGCTGGAACACTGTATGTCTGAAACCCTGAAAAACTTTGTAATTCATAGTGACTAAAGAAATTTGAAAAACAAAACAACAACAAAGAAACAAGGGCTACAACGAAAAGGCAGCTAACTGAATGGGAGAAAAAGTTTGCATTTAACACATCAGAAAAAGAATACCCAGGGGCTGGAGCAAGAGTGGGCAGTGGGCAGAGCGTTTGCCTTGTACATGGCTGACATGGGTTTGATTCCTGGCACCCTATATGGTTCCCCAAGCCCACCAGGAACGTGATCTCTGCGCCCAAAGCCAGGAGTAAGCCCTAAGCACAGCCAACTGCAGCCCCCAAACAAAAAACAAATTGGAATCCAGAATGGCAAGGGGTGGAAAGTTAAATTGAGAGAGCGGAGACCATAATGGAGAGAAACAGAAACTGGTGAAGGTGTGGTGCTGGAACACTGTATGCAAGAAACACGACCATCAGCAACGCTGTAGGTGGGCAAGGCAAGCCCTGCACGAAGCCAATCGGACTGGATTCCTAGCAGTGCAGATGGGTGACCAGTGATCCCTGAGCAAAGCCAGAGGTAAGCCCTGAGCACAGCTATAGCCCAGAAACCCCAAAGAAACTTCCAACATAATAAATAATTTTCACAATTAGTATTAGTAAAATGACTAATAATACAATAACTAACGTAGAATATTAAATCTGAGTTTATTATAAAAAGAAGAAAATTAAAAGGCAGGGAGATGCCTTAAAAGGCCATAGAATATATGTGTATGAGTCGTATGTGGTAGCCCCAGATTCATATCCGGTATTGCATGGTCCCCTGAGCACTGTGACAGGAGCGGTCCCCAGCACCACTAGGTTTGGCCTATAAATGAAAAGAAGTTAAATCAAGAGAATACTGTAGACACAAGGATGAGACACACCTTTACATACCTGAAAAAACAAAGAAAGGTAACTAATACTTGGTTTGGACAGGTAATATGACAGGAGCGAACAAAAAAAGTGGTTTACATTTAAAGAGAAGAGTATCATGGAGGGAAAGTAACCACAGTGGATATGCTAAAGATGAAAGTTAGTAAGAGCACTAAAATGTTCCAGAATGATGACAGACTCTTCAGCAATAAAGAAGAAGTGGCCATAATTGGTCAAGTAAGTTACCTGGTCATATCCATAAGGCCTCTGCTGTGGTGGCTGTGGTGGTCCAGGCTGTGTTGGTCTATACCCACCATACTGCTGACCTTGTCCCTGTGGGTAATTAGGATACTGAGGACCTGGACCGCCCTGTGAAGGACCTGCAAAACAAGTAACACAAACAAAAGTGCATACTAAAATATACTACTTAGACTTCTAGAATGGGTTTAGAACGAGATATTCCTATAATTTTATGTGTACAATATCATTGTGTAATTTACATAAACTAAAAATAGTCTGAAACATTGATAAACTCAAATAAAATTTTAGAAATAAAAGTCCAATGATTAGCAGAGTGAAAACACTGAGAGAACAACACCATCAAGTGTTTTGGGTTCATGATAACTACCATATTATATAAAAGTCATGAAAATTTGTAAGTCAAAAAGGGTAAAAGACACTCAAGAATTCTAAAGCAGTGCTGGCTTCGGCAGCACATATACTAAAATTGGAACGATACAGAGAAGATTAGCATGGCCCCTGCGCAAGGATGACACGCGAATTCATGAAGCGTTCCATATTTTTATAAATAAATAAAATTATGAAAAAAAAAAGTAAGGTGGAGTTCATGCCCAATTCAATCAGCAAATCAGTGGCTGAATAAATAGCAGTACTCCTACATAAAAAAAAAATAGAATTATAAAGCAAATGGAATACTATGTAACTTGTTAGAAAAGATGAAGTCATGAAACTTACATACAAGTGGTACTGCATGGAAAGTATCATGCTAAGCGAAATGAGTCAGAAAGAGAGGGACAGAAAGATTGCATTCATCTGGGGAACATAAATAACAAAATAGGAGACTAACACCCAAGAATAGCGAAGATAAGTACCAGGAGGTTTACTCGATGGCTTGGAGGCCAGTCACACATGCTAGGGGAAAAGGCAGCTCAGACAGAGAAGGGAGCACCAAATAAAGGGTGTTGGGAAGATCCGCTCAGGATCTTGTGAAAGAAGTTACTCCGTTTCAACATGTTCCTCCAGAAACATTTAAAATAAATAACCTACTAATGGTGTGGGCTGAAACTGTGAATTTTCAAAAATGATAAAACAAAACAAACAAACAAAAAACACTTCCCAAATTCACATCCAAAATCGTCATATTTATTTTGGAGACACACACAAAGTGTAGTGACACATTACCGTAGCCCTGCTGCTGTCCTGGATAGCCTTGCTGGCCTGGGTACTGCTGCTGCTGCGGTGGATAGCCCTGCTGAGGAGGTGGTCCTTGGTAGGCGTCCTGCTGCTGTCCATACTGGGAGTTTCCTACAGGATAATTGGAGAAGAGGGGACAAAAACTGAAAGATTTACTTAATTAAGTTTCTCCTCTAAGACCATAGCCAACAACACAAGAACGAAATAAAATGCCATATTGATTTTTAAAAGTTAACAAAACAAAGAAAAAGAACTCAAACCAAACAGAAGGGTTTCGGCCAAACAAACTGCAGTTAAAGCCAATTTTGCAAGGTTGAACTGCAGCATTTTCAGCGTCTCTGCCATACGAGCATTACATTTACTGGAACATCACAGTCATAAGATCATGACTATGCTAAATAAAATAAAAAAGACAAAATTAAAGACAGCTACAAGAGCACACACTAGCTACACAAGATCAGCAAGCTGTTTCCTAAAGGCACTAGACTTATATGTAAAATTATACAGATGTAAACACACACAAGAAAAAAATTGAACTGATGGATTTATATTCAAATAGAAATTTCCTCTGAGGAAAAAAAATTAATTTTAAATGTTTTAGCTTTTTTGTTATTATAAATGGCAAGTCATAGTTATACATTTTAAATATTTATAAGGAAATTATTTTGATTGTTCTGGGTTCCCTGTAAGTTTCAAGATAGCCAGCAACTAGTATTCTACAAGAGCTTTGCATGGATAGAAGTTGTCTTATGCAAGAATTTTCTTTCCTTTAGAAGGGGATATATACGTGTATGTGTGTGAAGGTATATAGATACCTCCTTCGTAGTAATGTTGTGAGGAATCCTCATAAGGCCTATCGTAGCCTTGTTCAGGATACGACGGTTGCTGATAACCGTAATCATTATGACCTACATCAATTCGACAAGAGACAGGAAGAAACGTTAATGGCCACTGAGTGAAAACCCTAAATATATTTAAACTTTCAGATAAAACTGAAAAAAAAAAGAAAGAAAAAGAAATGGAAATACATAAAAAAATAATTTCAATTGCATTAGCCAAATATTTACCATGTGACTGTTTTCATTTACGGTAACGTGCAAGTTTCTTAAAAGCAAAAAAACAGTAATTTTAGAAACATTACATTTTTTCTTAAATTCTGATACTCCTTATCAAAGGAGGGAAAAAAAACTCATTTTTCAATTCTTCAGAAAAAGAGAATGAAAGTATTTAGTTCTCTCACATGTAAATAACCTGAACAAAAGGAAGCAATTATATTTGTCAAATGCCAGTTCTGCTTGTGTCCAAGTCCACAGCACATGCTAAAAACAATGCAATATAAATGTTCCATAAGTGCTTTTCCCATGAAAAAAACTGAAACAAAACTTTCACATTCTATTACCTTGCACAAAGTATAAGTAAATCAAAGTATTTCCAGATGCAAAAATAACAGTGCTATCATCCTAAAAGTCATCATAAATATTTCCGAATTGTCATACATTCCATTTTCATAAAACTAATACTGCATTAAATACTAGAGTACAACAGTAGAGGCATAAAAAATTTTATCTGCAAGATGTCTAGTCTTAATGAAAATGAAAGCTCTAGTTTTGTATTTTAACCAAGTTGCAATAAGAAAACACAAGAATTAATTTTTAAGTTAGACAAAATCTAAATGTTTGAATATCTGATTAAGAAAATACAGTTATGGATAAATGTTAAATTCCATGATTTAGGACTCCAAGGTTCCTAAACTGAAAATATCTATGTTGATGGGAGATTCACAGTCCAATTATAGCCAGTTGATTGTCCTTGCAAACTTATTGGAGCAGTCATACCATTCATATTTTCTACAATTCTTTTTGTATCTTTTTCAATAGTTAAGACTATGACCAAATGTCCCAAAGAAATTAAAATATTTACTTTCTGGCCCTTTATAAAGTTTACAAAATAAAGTACATATTTTCTGACATAGTTATATGAACAGAAAGAGAATATACCAAAGGTTGTTTAAGAAAATAGATGTTTTAAAAGCAATCTCCTATACAAATATTAATACACTTATGCAAAATGTATGTTTTAAATTTAATGCAAATTTTAAAATGTTAATTCCCTGAAGTAATAAAATGAATTTACAGTAACCATAAAGTTCTTTTATTTATAAAAATATCTTATGTGTCTATTTTAAACATAAATATATTGTTATAACAATATAAATTTCACAGTCCTAAAAAGACCAAGGCCAAAATAACACTGGCAAATTCAACTCAACTATTTAAAATGTATTGTAAAAATTAAGCTAAACACAGTTTCCCACTGAATTTAACATGTTCAGCCTTCTGTGTGTGTATATTTATATATATATATATCTACATATATATATCTCCTAAAATTCTCTAGGTTTCTATCAAAAAAAACCCTTAATTTGTCTACAAAAGAAAGGAAAGAAAACCCAACATTCTGAAACATTTAGTGCAAGAAAATATGAAGGAAAAAAATTATTCTCTATCCAAAATCCAGACCACCCCTTATCATCTTATGGTCTCTATCCAGACCATCCCTTATCATCTCTATCATTAGCACATATTACACCAAAATTCTATATTAGGGTTTTTGACTCTGACAGAGTCAAAACTCAGGCAGAGCCTGCATAGGAAAAATCTAATAGACAACCTTTATACCTAGGAAAGGAAAAGATGGAAAACATGATTTCTTAAACACATCAAACTTCTAGTCAATGGTCCAAAATCTTACGTTTTGAAGTTCTTACTTTCAAGTTTCTGTTAAGTAATTTATTTACCGTAAATACAAAAGGAAGCCTTCGCTATAATAAATGAAGATGTTGGCAAATGCATTATAACAAAAACAAATTGTTTTGTAATGTGAATGACCACCTCAAGTTAACCCGTTTTTCTTGAGCACTGCATCAGTTTTAAATATAGTGAAAAACTGTGACACCTGTAAGTGAAAGTCTACTTGTAGCATGGTACATCATTACTACTTTTTCCTAAGCTTTCTTCTGAGTACAAAAATAATTAAGATTAAACTAAATAAAATTAAAATCTAGTTTAGAAATGCTTTTTCTATTTTACTAATGCTAAATTGACTATATTTCAGATATATTACAGGATATCAGTCTCCAAAATTCTTTTAAATGCAAATGCTTATAACATAAAAAACCATAGTTCTTTAAGAAGTATGCAGCATTAACATGGTAAAACTTGTAAAATTAATCAAGAACTTTATTCTTTACACAGTGTACAGAAGTGAACTAATGGGTAAACTTTATGATATGTGGATTATCTCAATAAAAATGTTTTTAAAAAGTCAATGACTAACATCTGCTTTGGTTCAAGTTCCAAATATTAAAGGATTATCCTCTTTTAGGTAACAAAGTATTCCAATAATAGAACGATTCCTGCTGGTAAGATGGAAGAACCAAAGTGTACTTTGCAATACAATACAAACTAATGTTGTCATTGGTACTTTAGATTACTAGAGTGTTCCTAAACTCAGAAGAAACACAATGCTGGTTTCTTCATCCCTTATTAAAATGTTCTGAATATCTATCTATATTACTACTGGACAGGGATAGAAAATGGGAAGTTAACATTAGGAAAAATTACCATCAGGGTAATATTGCTGGTTCATGCCTTCTGGAGGACCTTGTCCACCATGACTGTATTGGTCCCCATAATAGTCTTCCTGGCCTGAGTACTGCTGTGGTGGGCCTGAAAAACCACAACCAGTCAAGACATAAATAATTTGTTCTCTAAGTTATCAAAGGTTTTCTTTCTAAATTGATGTAATGAGTGATTATTTTTCAACTATAGAATCCTCTCCCATGCTTTGCCATTTCAAATACTTAATAAGCTTTATCTTTACCACAAAAAATAACATAGAAACACTACACACATTTTACAAAAATTAAAGTTAAGAACACACAGCCATTGTCAAAAAAATACCAACTTAAAAAAAAAAAGCACTGGCTCCTGATAAAATTTCAAATAAAAATTAATTTCCTTTCAACTCAGATATTAGAAGTTTGAAATAAAATTAGGTTTTGACAAAATGTGGAGTTATCTAAACTGAAAGAAAACTTCTCAAAAACAAAGCATTATTTTCTGCTGCAAATTAGTGAGCACTTGGTATAATCTTTTGTGAAGTAACCTCTTGTGCATTCAAAAAGCATGGGTGCATAATGCATGCATTTGGTGCCAAGAACTGCTTCCCCAGGCTGACCAACGGTGACAGAAGGATAAACAGAGGATGGAGGAATGGGGAACAGGGTACAGGGGCCAAAGGCTGCTTGGTAGTCAGGAACCCTTTCTCTTCCTCTCTTCTCCCTACTTCTCTCGAACAGCGTAGTTACTTCTCTCTCCCTCCCTTCTTTCTCTCTTATAGCATATTTATATAAAGATCGTGATGGTGAGGGTACATATAGCTGATATTAAACATTATCATAACAATAAACAGATGTAAAGCCCTTCCTTCAGGGGGAGTTCTTCTAGGAGATTAACTCTGGAACAAAATCTCATCTCGGGGTTCAGCACTCTTGATTACTAGGGAGATCCGCCGAAGGGTGGAATTCCATCTGAAGACATATATTGCTTTCTCCTTTCCTTAGCTAGTAATCCATTTAAACAATCAGACTGAATACTAATATTTCTAGCTATTCTGTATGCACACAGTAAGCGATTCTATGAAGCTTAAAGGGTGGCTCTTCCTGGGGAAGAACCTATATATCACTATATATCCCAGACTACATACCTCAGGCCAGGTTAGTCTTTCCCGACCCCCAAAAGGTTATTTCTTTTTAGTAGTTACTCTTATCCAGTTACTTCTTTTTGGGTCAGGACAGAGTTTGTTCCATGATCGCGCCCTTAACTTATTATACTTCTTATATTTCTTAGCCTGTCCCTTTTCAATGCCAAGGCAGTTTACAGCTTGCCCTGGGTCCATCCTGGTCCCTCACTAGGACCCTCCTTTTGGGGGTATTAGGAAGTAAGGGCAACTGAGGCTTAAGTCAAGGAAATATGATGGATGCCCAGGAGTAAGTATTAGTGAGTGAACTGACTCCCATGTTACAAAAACACTGTATCAACTGTCTTCCTGTGTCTATACAAAAAGAACATTGCTAAACCTTGCAAAAGACAGAGAGGAAAGAGAAAAGCAACATAGGAGTAGGAGTGCCTGATGGAGCTGCATGTGCCTTAAGAGCACTGTAGTGGGAATAACTCAATAACCCTAAGCTCCCTGCAGGAGGAGCAAGGGCAAACTAATGTCATCCAACATCTCCTGCCAAAAAAGAGTAGATAGCAGTTAGTTGTATAACAGGAAATTCCTATCTACTCCAAGTCTTTCGTGCCTCCTATATCCACTACATTTTAGGGAAAACATTTTTTTAACAATCAAAAACAAAATGACCTGACTCTGTCCTGACAAAAAGTTCGTTAAAATTCAAAGCCTTTCCACTACTGCCATTTAAATTTTCCAAATGGAATCTTACCCTGCTGTGGTGGTCTGTAAGGAGGAATCTGTCTCTGACCCATCATATGATTGCCTTGGTTCACTTGACCCATCATTCCCATAGGTGGCTGCTGGCCTTGGTAATGCTGCCCACCTCCCTGTGGCATATTGTATTGCTGAGAAGGAGGCTGCTGATGCATCATTGGACCTGAAAAGAGACAAAACATTACAAACAAAATATTTTTTTTAATTTGAGCTAACATTAAGCTGTGCTCAGGGTTCAACTACTGATGGTGCTCAGGGGACCATACATTGTGTCTAGAATTAAATCAAGGTCCACTGCAGGCAAGATAAGCTCCTCTCATTAAGTCCTGTTCAATCCCTAACACCACAGAGAATCTTCTAAGCATTGCCAGGAGTGATCCCTGAACACAGAACCAGAAGCCCTGAGCACAACAGCTAAATGTGGCCCCAAAACAAAAATGATACTTTTGCATACAATTTTTAAAAAATTTTAAAAACAATTTATCATCATAAATTCTCAAACATATTGTTCATTAAAATAAATTTTAACATCAAGTATGAATAACAAAGCTTTTGAGTTACTGAATAAATATACCTAAAATAATTTAAAACAAAAGATGGCAAGCAATTTATGGAACCTGGTATAAAACCCGCTGGAAAAGCATTCTAGTTAATTTTTTAAAAAACCAAGTAGACAGCTGGAGACCTGGCTCACAGACCAAATGCATGCCTGGCCCACAGGAGCTCGCATCTGAGCCCAGCACTGCTAACAGCCCCTAGATATGGGTTATGGACCCAAAACAAAAAGGAACAAAAAGATACAACATATGAAAATCATGACGCATATATTTTTCATTATTTACTATATATCTCTGCACCATCTGTCAAGGAAAGACAGAATCCTTATGCTATACCAGAAAACACACCAAAACAAAGCAAACTTTACAAAATCACACAGAACAGAAGTAAAATAGGGGGTAGAAAGGAGGGAGAGGTTTTCCAAATATCCATTTTCTAAGCTTTTTCAATATTCACCATGTAATGAGAGATAAGGAAACTACTTATTTAAAAAAAAACCTGTATTAATAGAATTTCACAATCTTAGTTTAATGACGAAATTTTAAAGTCATTTTCTCATACCAACTAGCGATAGTACTTCTTAAAAAGTCTAATGTGATCAACCAAAGTTCTGTTCTCAACATGGAATATGATCTCTAGGGTACCACTAGAAGTGATATCTGAGCACAGATTCAGGAATAAGACCTACACAATTGCCAATTACCACCACACCCCCCCAAAAAAAAGAAACCCAAATAACTATTCTTATACACAATCAAAAATTAGCTACGAAAAGAACTGCAATGGGCCATGGCCTTAGAAATAAGAACTATGCAAGTTCCAAACTGAACAACAGTTAGTATAGCCAAAACACTGTAATATACACTGACAACAGTAAAAATGTATCATGTAAAGTGACAACTATAAAGATCTCTGCCATCAAACAACAAAATTATCTCCTCAGTATCACTGGTCAAATTATGATATGAGGGCCTCATTGCCCCCCCTCCCACCATGGTATTTGTCAACACCTAGCAGCACTCAGGGACTACTCCCAGCTCAGTGCTCAGGGGTCATTCCCTCACTGGGAGGATAATCAAGCAATGCTGGGGACTGAATCCAGGTCTCCCACATGCAAAGTATACTCTCAGTTTGCTGAGTTCTCTCTCCGGTCCAGGGAGCTCATTATTTTATCATTACAAACTATTACTGTCTCAGAAATATTTATGAGTCATCCTATACTTTCTGCTTAAATAAGCTTCATATTCCTCCCTTTATTAATATGAGAACAAATTAAGAAGAAAATATAAGAGCAAAGGATTGGAGAATTTAGAAAAGTTTTACATGCAAAATTGCCTAGATGAGCCAAAACCCAGTATTTAAACAAAAATTAAAATAGAACAAGCCCAGCTCATTAAATATATTGCTGATCTACAATAACAACCACACTGTGTAAGTAGAAAAATGTCAGCTCTATTCTAAGTTGAATGGTATTACCTGAAGTACTTTACAGAACTCTTTCCTCTATTTGTCTTCTTTTTGCCTTCTATTTTCATCATAAATGCAAGCCTTTCAAAAATTACTTTGAGACTTTTCTCTCAATAAAAAAAAAAACGAATCTTATTAGGTGGTTCAGAGGAGAGTGAAACAGAAGCTTCAAACAAAAACAAATTTAACTAAGGCTATAAAATTTTAAATATAAACTTTGTATATAAAGCATCCTAAAGACAGAAAAAAAATTTTTACAGAACCCCCAGTCAATACAACAGAAGGAGTAAAATTTTATTTCAAGAAGAGAGATTTCTTCAGGGCTGGAATGATAGCACAGAGGGTAGGGCATTTGCCTTGCACGCAGCCAACCCGGTTTCGAATCCCTGCATCCCATATGGTTCCCTGAGCACCACAAGGAGTACTTCCTGAGTCCAGGAGTAACCCTCGTGCATTGCTGGTGTGACCCAAAAAGCAAAAAAAAAAAAAAAAAAAAAAAAAAATTTTCACTAGCAAACTGAATACTAGCAATTATTTAATAGAATTGGGCACTCAAGTAATTTATTTTCAATAAATGAAGATTCTGCCTATTCTTCTCTGACAATAATCAACACCTCTTGCCTAACAGAAGGTGACAATAAAACTAAAGTATATAATAAGCACTGGAACCATAATTTAAAATAAGGTAAAAAGCAAAAAGTTACCATTTCGAAGGAAATCTAATAATGTATAATAACATTTTTTTTAACTTTGTTCTAAAGGAAAAAAATAATTCTACTTAAGCCCTATATAAGACCATGGTACCTGTACTTTATTTTTGGGGACAGGCAACAGTTCCAATCCCAAAGAGCTCAATCACCACCCTTCTCTTATTCTGTCACTTCTCTCCTTTGAGGATCCTCAACATCATTCAGCAGTAAGTCTAAAGCCACACAGTGTACTGCCCCCATTGCCCCTTACATCCAAGACCTCTGGAAGAACTTGGCAACTGCATGTTGCCCCTGGCTCCTTGCTCCGCCCCTCCCCCCGCCCCCAGGTCAGAAACTTTACTGCCTAGCTCTACTCCCTGCGCTCATCCCCACAACCCTAAGCCCCCCTCAGAGTATGCCATGGGGAGAACTTTGGCTCCGCCCACTTGTTCAGACCTTTGTAGGTTGTGGCTGGTTTCCCAAAACCCTCAAACCTTAAGGCACACAAACCATCCTATTCTCACAAACTCCTGCTGTAAATTCTCAGACTCTAGCAGCACCAAAAAAGCACTATTTGAAAAGCAGTTAGTTAGGCACAGCTGCCCATTCCCAGCACCAGCCAGAGACAACCCTTGTCAATGGTAAATATAGCACTTAAGACAAAGAGAAAACATAAGAAAAGAGATGTCAACAGACATCAAAAACCCAGGACAACAAAAACCCAGGGGAGTACTCCAACACATCAGGCCTGTAATCTGCCTTAAGTCTTTAGGACAACAATATCAATGTCCAGTGACTTGAAAGTAACATTTGAGGAGAAAATTAGTAAACTAGAAGACAGTCTGATGTAAAAAATTGAAAAAATTATTCAAACAGAAGAAATTCAAAAATGAGGTGACAAGTCTTAAAATATGGTAGAAAACAAAAATCGTATCAGTACACTTAAAAATACAGTTAACAACTCAAGCAAGAAAGAGGAAATAGAAAAACTGAGAAAAAACAACAACAAAGAATGGGGCTGGAGCAATAGCACAGTGGGTAGGACGTTTGCCCTGCACGCGGTCGACCCGGGTTCGATTCCCAGCATCCCATATGGTCCCCTGAGCACCGCTAGGAGGGATTCCTGAGCGCAAAGCCAGGAGTAACCCCTGAACATCGCCGGGTGTGACCCAAAAAGCAAAACAACAACAACAACAAAGAAACAAAGAAATTACTGAAATGCCAAGAGGAACAAATTCACACTCATTAAAAAAAATTCCAGCAGAAGACGGAGGGAGAGAAGTAAGACTTAGTTGGAGAAATGTCACTGCCACTGTCCTCCCGTTTTTCATCGATTTGCTCAAACGGACCCAGTAATGTCTCCATTGTGAGATTTGTTGTTACTGTGTTTGGTATATCGAATATGTCACGGGCAGCTTGCCAGGCTTTGCCATGCAGGTGAGATACTCTCGGTAGCTTGCCGGGCTCTCCGAGAGGGGCGGAGGAATAAAACCAGGGTCAACAGTTTTGGCTGCGTGCAAGGCAAACACCCTACCTGCTGTGCTATCGCTCCAGCCCATTGGAGAAATAATTAGTGAGAATTTCCCCAACTTGAAGGGCAAGTTGGGAGCAATGATCTAAAAGGTCCAAAGAGTGTCAAACTGAGTAAAGCCAAACTAAAGACCAATAGCCTGTAATCAAAGTGGCAAGAACCAAAGTCAGAAGCAAAGCCTTACCTACAAGGGAAAAAGTATCAGTAGCAGATCTCTCTAGCAAAACTCTACCAACAAGAGTGTGATAATCTACACAAAAAACTTGAAAAAAAAATCCCCCAATCAAGAATCAAATCATAATTTCCCCTGTGTAATATCTCACATGATAATAGTTCTATATATCTATATATCTATCACTTTTCAGTCACTATTCAATATTATCTGTTTTTTTAATGACTCAATCTCAAATTCTATTGTGGGTTTTATTTGAAGGCTTACAAACTCAAATATCCTACTATATATTCATTTAAAATGAGTGAGATTATTTAACTAAAACATACATACTATACTGCAGCTAGAAGAAACTTACCTCAGTTTCCTTAGAAAACAGAGTAAGGTGGGGCCAAGAGATAGTACAGCGGGCAAGGTGTTTCCCTTGCATGCAGTCAATCAGGGTTCGATCCCCAGCATCCCATATGGTCATTTTCCCACCCACCCCACACACCCCACCCTCAAACCTCCCCGCCAAAGCCACACACCACCAGGAGTAAGAAATTATTGCGTGCACAGCCAGAGTTACCGATGAGCATGGCCAAGTTTGATCCAAAAAAAAAAAAAATTAAAAGGAAGAAATTATAGTAAGGGATGGTTGGTGCAATGGCTAATGAGCTTGCTTAGCCACTAGCCTGGCTCAAATCCCCAACACAACATACGGGGATGCACCACACACTGAGCACAGCCAGCAGTCACTGCTGAAA